GGAATTTTTTGATATGATGGAGGGATTTATTTTATCCAAGACACATGAATTAAAACTTGCTAATGAAGAAAACAATGGAAAAAAAAAAAAAAAAAAAAAATATGCCATTCAAATAAAGCCCGGGTTTTATCTTCCAATAGCGCTTGTGCTACAATGCATGAACGTGTATCATTGTCTACAACTAGAAAAAGACACAACGGCATTTCATATTGATTTGTTTTACACGTATTATCACTTATTACTATATCATGAAACTGAGCTCACAATGAAACTTGTAAAGGAGACATCCAGAAAAGTGCGGTCAATCTATTTTCTTCACCTTCGATATTAGGTACAACTACCCATTCAGGATCTTCAGCTTTTAAAGTTATTAATTGTTGAAGAGTTTCTGCAGCATCAGTTTTTGTTTTCTCACGTGATGGTATTCGAAATCGCTGAATAGCATTGTAAAGATCCTTTCTATCTATATATTTGTCAGGATATTTCGCTTTCAAAAGATTATACTGCATTTTGGCACCCAATCCTTCAGTGGAACATGTATAAAACTTTATGTCCCCAATCATTTCTTTTGATAACTTACGAAACTGTGGTGCGGTTTGCGAAATAATAGGATTCAATTCATGGTTGTGTTTATCATCAAATGAGGTACATGTAATTTGAGTAGTACCCTTGCGATTATTAAAGTTCACATGCCATGGACAGTTAATCTCAGCAGAATAGCGCTCACGCTGCTTAGTAATGTCAATAGTTTTTTTGGCCTTATGTACATGTGAATAGGAACACTCATAGCTGCGGCGATGTATACCCGAATGATCAGAGTGAAAAACACTCCTACTTTTTCGAAAAGAAAAACCTTTAGACTTTCCATATGATTCTACAAAACTGTCCACCTCTTCCTATGTATTAAACGGAAGTCCAATATATAATTGCAAAAGGTTTTCTTGTGATTCATCATCACTAGAAATGTCATTCGAACTATTCAAGGATCAATTAGTAATGTAGACACACAAGAATACAAAAGCAATTCAATTAATGCTAAAAACACCTAATTACTAACCTGGAACTAGGGCCCGGCGTCACAATAAAATCGTTTTCAGGTGGATTACTTGGTAATTATAAGAAAAAAGACAAACCAGAAGTCAAATAAGTGAATGCCATTTACTATATAATGCTAAAAACACAAATGTTAATGAACCAAAATAGATATTACGACACCAACCTGAAACTTTGGTTCAGCGTCAAATTAAAGACTCCTTCAGGTTCTATTATTGGATTGCTTGATAACCATTAAAAAAAAACAAATCAGAAGTCAAGAAGTAAATACTACTATACTACTTACTAAATAGGTATTATGACACTAATCTGGAATGGCTCGACATAAAATTAAAATCGCTTTCAAATTCTATAGCTGAATTACTAGATAATAATTAAGAAAAAAATCAGAAATCACCTTAACAGCACGTAATTACCAAATTTCCTTACTAACCTTTTGAACCTCTGGATCTGTCCATAATTGAAATCAACTGCGGGATTACTTAATTGACCTTGTGTCAAATTGAAATCGTCGATGGTAAGATTTCTTGGCGACAGTCAAAAAAAAAAAAAACCCCGCATCAGCTAGTTGTGTTAACGCGTAGCCAGCAACGTTTTTTTCTAACCTTCTCAAATCTTGACTCTTCTCCAAATCAACATCAAGTTCCATGGTAAAATTACTGGACCACAGTTAAAAGCAGAACTATCAGAAACTATTTCGACGTGTAGCTACCGATTTTTTTCACTAACCTTTGAAAACTTCTGCTCCGCGCTAGATTTAAATCAACACCAAGTTCTACAAAGGGACTACTTTGTGACAAATAAACAGTAAAAACAAGTTAAAAGCATTTGCATGTGACGTAGCTACCAGGCAGCTTTCTTACTAACCTTTGTATTGCAAAATTAAATGACGTCGGCTCAAAGGTATGATTTTCCATTGGCTTTACTTGTTCTTTCAGCTTCCTTATCAGCGAACTGATCGTTTCTCTATTTTTACTACACTACTTTAACGAGACAAAGGTGTATTTTTTTGAACAAGTGAAGAGGTCAAATCAATGTTCGATCAGTCTATTTATTTACGTACGTGCATATTATATATTTATTTACTAATCGAGTAGACAATGCATATATGTATATATATGTATATTCTAACTCCGATTATGCATGATCGATACGATCTACACAGGTAATAATCACCTGTGGTGAATTCTAGTTATTTTCTTTTGAATTTATACTATGTCAAATATTTTTTTTATTAATGTTTGTAGGATACACTAATTATAACCATTATATAATAAATATCAT